GGATAAGAGATGGGTACATTTCAAATATTTTTCAGATATTCACGACATACATATATATATATATAAATATAAGAGTGTTGGAACAATTATATTTTGTTTATTTTAAATTTTTTTTAAAAGCAATATTTTACAATTATAAAATTATATATATAAAAAAATCGTTAAGAGTTCTTCTTTGCATTTCAAAAATATTTTAATTGTTTCTTAAATTTGATTTTTTAATTGTTATGTATTATGTACAACTATATTTTTATGGATGTATTGCATTGTACTTATATTCTACTCTCATTACAACAAATAAAAATTTTAGAGACCAAATGTTTTAATTTCTAAAAGTGAAAATTTTGTTACAAAAGACATTTAGGAACCAATTTCTATCGTCATAAGAATAGTTATTAAAAGGTTGTCTTGAAAAATCTAAAACAAGTCTATTATTGACAAAATTTTGAAAATGTCACTAATAATTAGACTTTGAGTGACAAAATAATTTGGTCTCAAAATGGTTTATTTTTTGAGACAAAAAATTTATCCCAAAAGGATAATAGTTCATTACTAATGTCTAATTTTTGTTGCTAAAAATAAAACAACGGCATTTTTTGTAACAAAATATTTAGCCTCCGTTTGGGAAGTGGGTTGGCTTTTTGGCTTTTTAGGCTATTTTAGCCTGGGCTTAAAAGCTTGGTTTGGGAAGGGCTTTTTGGCTTTTTGACTTTTTTGAGTTTTTTTGTGAGAGAAGAATGTAATGATTATGGGTTGGATGTGATGTTTTGTTTGTTATGGCTAAAATAGCCTATTTTGTTTTTTTTGGCTAAAATAGCCAAAAAAACCTGCAAACCCACTTGTCAAACATAGGCTTAGTCCCTAAAAAATAATTTTATTCCTAAATTTTAATCTCTAAAATCTTAATTTTTTTGTAGTGTGTATCAACATCCTCGTAACGTTTTTGTACCCTTACCTATACCAGCACCCGTATCCCTACTTTAAAAAATGAAAATTTTGATAAAATATCCTGATAATATATACCATACATCTAATCTAAGTGAAAATGAGGTGATTTTTCAACTCGTTTACGTTTTTAAAGAAATAGTCAGTGGGCAAGTAAGCTGCCAAACATAAACCTACGACAATTAACTTTATAGTTTCAACAAATAGGGTTACAAATTTATGAAGCCTCATCTTATTTTATTTTTTTCTTCATTTCTTTATTTCCTCTGATGTACAAATTAATGAAATTCCATAATTTCTTCCATTTATTAAAGCTGTTGAAGTCTTTGATATGGACTCAATACAAATTAAAGAAGTGTGGTCAAGAGTTTACTCAAATTTGAATTTCTTATAATTTAACAATTATATGATTAATATTTAAGAAAACCAAAATTTCAAGAGAAAACAAGGAAGTTGTATTCTTTTCCCTTTTGCTATTTATGTGCTTTGGATTATTTAAATGGGTCATGTTGAGTGTCCCTTAGGTACAAGACGAAGAAAAAAAAAAAAATTACAAATTTCAATATCACACGTAATTTAATTTTTAACTTTTTCACCATTTTAAAATAATTTTTAGACAAATCCCAATTTTAAACAAGGGTGAATTACATTAACGGTCCTTATAGTTTGGGACTTGTGTTACTTTGGTCCATGATCTTTCAATTGTGATACATTTAACCATAATTTTAAATCTCGTTCCAAATAAGGACAATCGAAAACATTGTTGCTCCATTTTAAGGACAAAGTCGTTAATTTGATAAAATATAAACTAATTTGATAAAAAATAAATATCAAAAAATTATTTTTGAATTTTTAAAAATTATTTCTACCCACTAAAGATAAAATTATATAACAATGATTAATCTTTTATATTTTTATTTTTTTTAAAATTTTTTTAGCAAATTAATTTTTAGTATATGTTTGAATGATGATCATATAATATGTGATTGTTTTTGTTGATATTTTTGGATGGCTGTTGTATTTGTTGTTTACAGATATTTTTGTTTAACTATCTTGTAATGGATGTTATTAAGTTTGTAATTTATAATCGATATGTTTAATATATAAAATATTTTTAGTTTTGATTTTTTGATTTATAGATTGATTTAATAATGAAATCATAGTTGTCGCCACGTTTGATTTTTGAAAAAATACTAACTAATTTAACGAAAATAAATATCAAAAAAAATTATTTCTATCCTCCCACAAGATAAAATTATATAAAAATAATATGTTATTAATTTTTTTTTCACCAATTTAATTTTTAGTTTCTTAGAAAGATTTTTTAAAAATAGATTCTAAAAATCAAACCAAACAAAATTCTATAACCAAGAAAGTTGCAACATTATTCATTAAAAAAAAAAAAGATATTACATTTCAAACAACATATATGTTAACAAACATAAAATAAGTTGTATGGCGATTTTACACTTGAAATGGATCGTTTGCAAATGAAACATTTTATATTGTCCTTATTTGAAATAAGAATCAAAATTTAAAGTCAAATGTATCGCAATTACAAAGTCAGGACCAAAGTGATACAAATCTTAAGCTATAAACACCGTTAATATAATTCGTCCTTTAAACAATGTTCTAGAAATACTTATTTGCATTTCTCTATTTAAAGTGTCCAGTACATCGAACAATTCAACATGATATTAAAAGAAAGAAATAAAAAGTTAAAATAAAAAAAGAGAAACATTTTTCTTGATAAAATGTGTGCTAGATTCATGGAAAAGCATGAGTCCCACTATACTAGCTTTCTTGAGGGAATATTTCTTTCAAGTTGAATTTTGTATACATAATTACAAAAGTGAAACGTTTAAATTTTTTAGTAATTCTTTATATATAAATCAAATGCACATGAAATTTTCTTTCTTATTATCAGTTTCTTCTTTATTGGAAGAAAATAAAAATATATTTACAACTCTTAAAGTGTGTGAAAAAAACTTCAAATAAATATTAAAAAAGATCTACATGAAAAGAGGGGTGGTTGAATCACCAATTTTTCTTGTGAAATGTTGGAACTACTATTTGCTAATGAGTTGTTGCTTTTATCATGTGGACAAGTAAGGGCAATTGAGCCCACTCAACTTTGAAAAAATTATTGCCTCCACCTAAACTTTTGAAAAATGCCTAAGACCTCAGTGGGGTTCACTGGGATCATGCGTGTAGGAAGGTGATTGGTACAAAAAAAAAATTATTTATTTATTTTTGTTGTTTCAGCGAATGGGGCGGCGCCACATCACTGGGGGCGACCTCCACTGAGAGTCTGAAGCACGACCCTAAATTTTTTATGCCCTTATCTCATGGAGGAGATTTAGATATTTTCTTTCTTTTCATTTCTCATAGAAAGAGTAGTGTAAAATAAAAACATATTTGTAACTTCTCGACATCTAAACGTAATTCAATACAATTTATAGTTATCTGCTAAGAACACAATTTAACATCAATTAACTTAATTAAGTGTACCATGGCAATCATTAAGTTACGCATAAATTAAATCCTATTTTTTTTATTTATTATTTATGTATTTCTTAGGAAGTGGATTTCTTTGAGCTCCACGGAAAATGAAAAAAAAATAAAATAATAATCTTGAATCGAACCTGGGTTTAATTGAATTATTTTTATTTTTTAAAGAACAATTTTATTCTTTTAAAATATATTATTATTTAATAAAATCAAGATTAGTTGCTTACTTTTGTGTGCCTTTCTCAATTTCCCTTAATTTGAGTGATTCATAAGATCACTTTTTCTGACATGAACAATTTTTTTTTTTTTGATACCCAGAACACTCCCAAGGCAGGATCCTTAAGATCCACCCTTACAAGCCAAAGGATTTGAAGGCTGATCAGTAAGGAGAAGAGCACACTCTCTTACCAACTAGGATAACCCCTTGGTGGTGACATAAACAATTTTATAAATCAATAAAATATAAAAGGACAGTGAAGGGTGCATAGAAAGTAACAAATGATTTAGATTTTTATTAGGTTTTATTTAAATCATAAATTTAGATAAAAATTTAGAAAGAAAAGGGAAAAAAGATGAGTGAAATGTTGGTAGGGATTTGAAAAAAAGAAAAAGTAAGCAAAATGTAGATGAAATGCGTATTTGGATACCATTTTGAAAATGCAAAAAGAAAACTATAAATGAAATATAATAATATTTCACTCACATTTTTCATTTTATTTGCAAATGTCTATCCAAATTCATTATTTGAACACAACAATACTACAAACCAATAATTTATATCAAAAAATGCATTAAAAAATAACAATGTGTAATTTAAATTTAATCTACATATAGATCTGACAAAATATAATTTAAATATCAATCATTAATCACATGCTGATTAATTTTTAACAAAAAACCTAAGTACTTAAACTTTTCATTAACAAAACCCATAGTTAAGCAGTCATGGGCAATATATATATCTAAAATATTTTTAAAAAATAATTAGAATAAATTTTATAAATATTAATAATTGAAACCTTAATTTTTTTATTTATAAATTTATAATTATTTTTTATAAATTTCACTGAATTGTATTTTAAAATAACATGTAGCATTAAAATTAGACCTTATATAAAAGAATGTTTAATAAATTAAAATTTAATATTTATCAATCACATCATTAAAATAGTTTTTAATGGTGAAATATTTCTTTTAGAATAATTATAAATAATAAAAAAAAACATAGTTTAAGCAAAGAACCGAAAGATGCAAACAACCCATTGGGCGCGCGCGCGCACAATTATGTGATGACCGTTTCCAAGCACAAAAATTTCAAAAGGTCCAAATGTTGCCGCGGTCCCACACTTCCAGTCGTACACCCATTTAATTCAAAAGTCCAACTCACACACGATTTCATTAAATTAACTAACACGGACACACAGACTAGAGAGAGAGAGAGAGAGAGAGAGAGAGAGAAACGACGTTGTTGACCGAATCAGACGTCATCTCTCACCGTTTGACTCTCCTCTCTGCCGACCACCACCTCCCCCTTCAAAACCCCCCTCGCCTCCCTCCCTTTCCTTCCTCACTTCCCAACTTCTCTTTCTCTCTACTCTCTCTCTCTCTAAAAATATTCACAACGAAGATGGCGAGAGACAAGAACGAGCTTTACGTTACTGTGCCTAACTTGTTCAGGTGCCCGATTTCTATGGACGTGATGAAGTCTCCGGTGAGCCTCTCCACCGGCGTTACCTACGACCGATCTAGCATCCAGACCTGGCTCGACAACGGCCACAACACTTGCCCCGCCACCATGCAGGTCCTCCCTTCCACTGATTTTGTCCCTAATCTCACCCTCCGCCGCCTCATCCATCTCTGGTCTCACGACTCCCACTCAATCCCTATGTCCTCCCCCCACTCCGACGCCTCCGCTCCTCCTCCTCTGATTTCTAAGCAACAGCTACTTGATTCTATCAAGACCATCGACAAATCAACTACGAATTGCTTAGATTCGCTCTTGCAGATCGCCAATTTCGCCAAGTATTCCGGCGAGAATCGCGAGTTTCTCGCAAGTATTGATGGATTTGTTTCCAGGATCGTTGGAATCTTGTGCAATGTCGATGAAATCCAAGTGCTGGAATTGATTATGACTGTTTTGGATTTGATTGTATCTGAAAATGGAGTCAAAGAAGAACTGATCAGACTAGTGTTCAAATGCAATCGAGATTGTTTGTCTCCATTCGTCTCGGTTCTCGAGAGAGGCAGTTTGAGTTCTAGAATCGAATCAGCTAGGGTTTTGGAATCAATCGCGTTCAACACCGAATCTCAACGCGCAATCACCGAAAAGCAAGGCTTATTGTTCGAACTGCACCGTCTAGCAAGGTCCGAAACCGATCCAACGGCTATAGAGGCCGGATTATCCTGCCTGATCGCCTTATCAACATCATCTAGACCGGTGAAAAAACAACTCGTCCAGTTCGGAATCGTGAGAACCGCAGGGAAAATCATCTCCGGTTCGGACACGGTTGTATCGGTGATCGAGAAAGCTATGAAGCTGGTAGAGATGGTGTCGACGTGCGCGGAGGGAAGGGCGGCGATAGGAGAAGACGAGAACTGCGTTGCGGCGATCGTCAAGAGATTGATGAAGGGAACGAGTGCGGGGACGGAGCACGGTGTTGCGGTGCTCTGGAGCGTATGCTATCTGTGCCGTGATCGGACGGCGCAGGAGGCCGCGATGAGGAACAACGTTTTGACCAAGGTACTGCTGGTCATGCAGAGCGGTTGTACGGCCAGAGCTAGGCAGATGTGTGTTGATTTGGTGAAGGTGTTCCGAGTTAACTCGAAGTCGTGTTTGGCGAGTTATGAGACTAAAACTACTCATATTATGCCGTATTGACTCACTAGCGAATAGTCTTTGAACTCGTTCCCCTAACTTTTTTTTCTTTTTTTCCTCCTTCACATACAGATAGTTCACAGGCTGTAAATCAAAAGCAAATTTATTGACAAAGCAAAATGAGAATTATTCATTTAATTTTTGTATTATTTCATATTCTGCATATTATCTTTTGCATTTTTTTTTAGAATAAATTACAAATACACCTCTAATGTTTGATTATAATACAAATCGCCTCCCGTAATTTTGAAAATTACATTGCACTCCTGAAGTTTTTAATTTTATAACAAATCGCTCTTTTTATTAATAAATCATTAAGTTAATTAACAGTTTTTAATGATGTTATAACTATGTTTTAATTAATAATTTAGACAATTTTGTTATTGTATAGGAGAGTAATTATAAATTTATTTTTTTTTTACTTAATTCTGTTAAATAAAATTTTTTAACAATGAGATATTTGTAATTTTTCAAACTACAGCGAGTAATCTGCACTTTAAACAAATTTTAGGAGGTGTATTTGTAATTTAACTCTTTTTTTTTTTTTTTTTTCTACATATTTAGAATGAAATAGGAAACAATAAAATACGATGGTATACATTTTGTGTATAGCACTATTGAATTTGAAAAGTATCATGAGAAATTTACAAAAAAAAGAAAAAAAGAAAAAAAAAGTGAAATAAAAAAATTAGAAGAAAAACTTATTTTCTAGTATGTGTAAAGTTAATATAATCTTTTGTGAGACAGTTGTTATAACGGTTTAGGAATTAGTGAGGAAAAAGTTGGTATATATATTTTTTGTTGAGTGATAAATAAACAAAAAAATTATGCTAAAATCTACGTTCATTCTTTTATATAATTCTTTGGAAGTAATATATACAAATGGTAAAATTTATGGTAGTAGATTTAACAAAATAAAGTGATAATTCTGTATATATTAATTTTAAATCAAAAGATTTATCAAATTAACTTATTATTTTAAAAATTATGTAGATATTGGGTGTATTAGATGTGGCATCGGTTGGGCCGGGTTCAAGTCCAGCTAAGTTATAAAAAAGGATTTGGCTTTTTTCCAGTCTGTGTTCGGATTGGAAGGTGTTGTTGGGCTCGTGAAAGCCCATCATAAGTTCCGTTTTGATAATTTGAACCGTCAATATGTAGAATCGTTGAGTACTATATATTTGTAAAAAATCTAATTGATCGGATATCGATAATTACGTGATCAAATCAGTTTTGTATAAAAAAAAAATGGACGGTGAAAAAATAAATAGTTGACAGAAATCTGATCCGATAAAATAGCTATCGATCTCCAATCAATATGATTTTTTACAGGCATGTAGTACTCGACGAGTTTTACACATTGAACGATTTGAATTATCAAAATAAGACATGAAATGGGCCTCCACAAATCTGACAACACCCTCTAATCCGTTCACAACTAAAGGAAGTCAATCTCTTATAAAAAAAAATCTCGTGTCTATTCTCGGCCAAACTCAACTTCGAGCATACAAGATGAATTTTAAGTTCACCTAAAAGTGTTTTACAATCCCAAACTTGTCCAATAAACTCATATATTAAATGAAAAATAATATTTTTTGCATTTAAGTAGACATGGACTTTTTTTTTTGTTCTCTTTCAAAGTTTGGTGGGTGAATTTTCCCTCTTCGGTATATTTATTTAATTTAAGTAACAAATAAAATAAAATAGATTTATTTATTTATATAATATATTCATATAATTAGGCCATCTCGGGTCGGGTTATGCTCAAATCCCAAACTCTGGCTATGTAATAAATGACCTTACAATATAGACGTAAATATCAATGTTAAATCCTTAAAAACGAAAGTGGGTGTGAGAGGACGGGTGTCCATACTTTGTTATAAAACTGATACAATGGGTTGGTATTAATTATTAATTAATAATAAATTTAATATTACATTGGTGGGGACATATGGCTGATTTCAGTCTGAAACAAAAATTATTTATCATATTTTTATTTATCGATGATAGCATTTAATATTTATTTGTAATGTTGGAGGAGAAGCTCCTTCAAAGATGCATTATGGTGGTAATAAATTAATAGTGCTAATGTAATCCCTTGTTCAACTTCTTGGGCTTCCCAATGAAACCAAGCATACAAAGCCAAAACCTATAAGCACCAACCAAAAACAAAAATTAATCTATAAATATATTCAATTCAAACATACTATTAAATTTATTATAATAATAGAACTTGCTTCGTCAACATTTTGTTAGATTTGTCATTAGGGATTCGAGAGAAAGTTTCAATGGCACTAGTGATTACTGAGCAAAATCATGAATAGATATGCTATATACTTCAAAAAATATTTAAGAATAAAAATAAAAATTAAAATATAATACTTAAATTTAAATGGTCAAAATCAATTTGATTTATATATTTTTTATTTTAAATTATTTTTCCTATGTATGTAACATTTTGAAAATTAAGCAACATATGAGGTAATTGGCATACTAAACCTTGAAAATGGTTTCTTTTCATCGGTTAAATTGTTGAAAAGTATTAATTTTAGCTGTGATTTTAAAACTTATTTTCAATTTACCCATAGAGATTTTGTTAATTAAGAAACAAATGAGGCAATTGGCATACTAAACCTTGAAAAAATGGGATTTTGGGTGGCTGTTGTGCATGTATGTTCTATTTGATTTTTTGCAAGTATATTCTGCTTGATATATTTTAAAATGTGAACAGTTTAAATTATCAAAATGAGTCCCGAAATGAGCATATTTGACTGCAAAACAGTAGTTGTTGTGTATCCCGCATAGCAGCCACTCAAAATCCTTGAAAATGATTTATTGTTGTTGTTTAAATTTTTGAAATTTTTTAATTTTAGCTGTGATTTTAAACTAATTTTCAATTTACCCCTATGAGATTTATTTTTTGCTCCCTCTCAAAATTCACCTACTGATTTTATTCTTGGTCACTTGAGATCTGTAGAGATTAAAGCGATTGCAAAAAGGAAATATGAGAAGAACATGTTTTTAGAAATTTCTAAGTTTGACTATTTTACACACCAATTGCAAGAGAGAAAGACTTTTGGGGCAATGAAGAATCAAAGTTGGAAAAACCATCCCTCTCCGATGACCAGCGAGTTTGACTAAGCGACTATAATACCAAATCAACTCACCTATTCTTTTTATTTATTTTAGGATTGGGGTGAAGAAAGAATTTGTGAGATCCATTATTACTGGAGAAATGATAGCTGTCTTGGGTTCCTCTTCTTCCTAGGCAATGGAGGAAATCTTCATGAAATTTGTTGCCATTTTGAATATTGAGAGGATATAAATTTCAAAAAAGATGGATGCTTTAAAAATTCTACTAAAAATTTTATCAAGTCTCTTATATGAATATGAGACTCACATGAGATCCACATCGTATAAATCTCACACTCATATAAAATATTTGATAAAATTTTTAATAAAATATTTAAAATCTCTAATATCACTCTATAAATTTTTTGGGCAGGACTTTGCCATTCAAAGCCTTTGAATCGTTGAGGCCCCTTTCTAAATATTTTATTCCGTCTAACCAATTTTTTTTTTTTAATATTTTCTTATGTCCTGTTCAATATAATAGTATCAAATCACTTTTTTAACTTTTTATTAATGGTTTTATTTTGAAATTAATACACAATAAAAAATAACAATTAGCTTGTTTGGTTTCGTCTTTCTGAAAACAGTTTTCAGAAAATTCTACTTTCTTATTTTCTGTATTTTTTTGTTTTTAGTGATTTTTTAAAATATTTTAAACAATTTTTTTTAATTTTTAGATATACCTAACATAAATATACCTGAAAAGTAAAAAAATTTTGAAAAAAACCTTTTAAAAATTCACTAAATACCAAAAATATAAAAAAAAATACGAAAATTCAATATATTTTTTGTATTATTATGTATTTATAAATTTTTTAAAATATTTTTCACAAATTTTTTACTTTTTAGATACATCTAAGTAAGGTGTATCTAAAAAACTAAAAAAATGTTTAAAATTTTAAAAATATTCACTAAAAACAAAAAAGCACAAAAAATAAAAAATTTGGTTTTCAAAAAACTTAATCCAGAAAATTCAAACCAAACACACTGAATAGTCTTTCATTTCATGGAGAAACCATTTCATAGAAAAAATCTTTCACATTCTGAGACTGTAGTTGGAGTTGCTCTTACACCATTCCATAGAAAAAAAACTTTCACATTCCCAGAATCCTAATTGTCTACCTTCTGAAAATCTCCCACTAAATGTTGATGTGAACTTTTACATCACAAATGCATGCGGGTAAATAATATCGCCTCATGGAACCACACGTAGTTAATGTTACATGAATGTGTGAATATTAAAATTGGATGTGACTACATATATGTATTATAAAATTAATGTGAACATTCGCATCTCTATGTACACACTATATTTTTGACCAAAATATATAACACATTGTTATTTATGCTAGTATGACTATTGTTTAATGTGAATAATAACACATTGTTGTTTGCGCTTGTATTACTATTTTTGAATATAAATATTAATATTGATTAATGATGTTGCGCTTGTATTACTATTTTTGAATGTAAATATTAATATTGATTAATGATGTTACTGATCACAACACTAATTGCAACAAATTACAATGTGAACTTTCATATTGTAACGAGAAAACATGAAACAAAATTGAATAAAAATGAAAATCGACTGTGTTGATTGTTTAATGGTAACAAAAATGATTGTTCAATCAACAAGCATAGTAACAATAACAACAAACATACAACTAATATTTGAAAGAATAAAATCCATACCAAAATATAATGTGAATATTCATAGTTTACAATTAACATATAATTAGTCTTAAAAAAATTAAATTCATAACAATGCGAGCATTCATACTGCAATATGAAAATATGAAACACAATTAAAAAAAAGAAAAAATTGACTATTCCGATTGTTCAATGGTAGCAAAAATAATTGTTCATCTAAGTATATTAACAAACAATATACAACTAATCATCAAATAGTTCATATATATTGACACAAATTTTTAGAAAAATCTGTATATAATCAATACTAGTATAATACTGATGAATAAATTAGACAATACAAGTGACTATACAAAACGAAAAAGTGAC